TGTGGGTGTGGGCATCACAAAGGCTGGTTTTAAAGCTTCATCTTCACAAAAGCCTAATGCTGATCTTTTTCAAAAACAAGCCAAGTCTCTCATTCCATTGAGAGAACTAATCCACAGATTACAAATAGGGATGAAGATATTCGTTCCACTTCATGCACTAGTTTCACTGATCAGGTTTATCACAGAAGTACAAGTAATATCCGACAGTCTGGACTACCTCCACTGCAACGGTTTGGTCTAAATCATGAAACCAGATTCAAAACCATCGGAAAAATCTGATTTTGTGAATCGAAAAAAAATCAAACACAAATCGATGCACTTACACAGAAGAAGTAAGTCAACAATTCACATTCATTCATCATCCTCAACCTTGGACTTCAAGGAAACCATTGCTAGGGTTTAAAAAATGGTTTCTAGAGATACCTGGATCGGAGTTTTTGGAAGACAGAGGAATGAACGCGATTCAGACCTAGCCGCTCGAATACTCAGCTTGGACGCGATCTCGATCGGAGATGAAATACGCAAACTGGACTACTGGAGAGGCGATGGACGAGAGGGATCGAAAGAGGCTATGGACGAGAATGAATGTCGACACTTAATTTTAACTGGGCCAGGGAATTGAAATGACATGGGTTTGGGTATGAATTTGTAATTGGATTGGTTATTAATGAGAGGAATTTGATTTAAATCCAAATTCAAATTATTTGGGTTGCCAAACAAGGAATTTGAGCCAAATCCGGATTTGAAATCCAAATTCAGGTTCCCAAACAGGCCATAAGAGACTTACCTTGCTGGAGACCTCCACTGTTCGCCTTTTGCTCTGTTTCCATTGTCAACTCTTTCAATTCCTTGACAGATTTCCCTTGCTTCAGAACTGGAATGGAGGGCTGGAAAGGTAGTGCATGAATGTTGAAAGCTCTGGACGTGTTGTGCAGTGGAGGCTCATTTGAGCAATTAGCATTAAGACCCTGCTTACATTCATCAAAAGGGGCAGAAACTGCCTGCGAGCTGGAGTTGCAGTAAGTAGGGGTTTTTGCAAAGCATCTTGATCATCAATTGGAAAGCATTGAGTAGCATTGACACCATCTGAAAAAAGCTCTAAATTTGGAGAAGACTGAGTTGAATTCAATACAAACGACCCCTCCTTGGCTGCTAATGTTGAAACCGGTTGGATGGCTATAGCACCACTACTAAAAGAGAGGTTACTGTGAGTCCTTCCAATGTCAGAATCAAACAGAGATTTAGAAATGGATGAAGGGATAGAATGAGGTTGCTCCTCACCTAAAGATTTATCCTTACAGTACTCAAGGGTATAACCTGCCTTATTAAGGTGAGCCAAGAATAATCTAAATCCATGTCTGCAAATATCCTCAGGTACGAAAATGGTAGTATAGCCAAACAGGTGTTGCTCAACAATTTTAACAAAAAAACCAGATGCATTTGAATCTAGAGAGAATCTAAAAGTTCTACTACCCTCCCTAAGGCTCTGATTCCAATTGGTTACCACCGGATTAAGTAGAATATATTCAAAGCAGGAACTTAACCAGCGAAGAATTCTAAGATTTGTCCAGAAACGGAAGGTTTTCCATCGTCTTCCCTCAGAAACTTGACATAGATTATTAAAGGCTGAAAATCTGAACTCAAACCTTTTCGACTGGATTCCAAAGGTGAAATCGACGATTGTGCAGCTCGAACATCCATCCATCCATCCATCCAAATAAGAATATTCGTGAATTTAACTCACGAGATGGTTTAATACAAATCAAATTCACTCAATTCAAGACGGATTTGTATGGCGACACCCAGATTTGAACTGGGGAAAAAAAGATTTGCAGTCCTTCGCCTTACCACTCGGCCATATCGCCAAAAAAACTGAGTTTCTTGTTAGAAAGGCTCTTCCTAAAAAATCTTAGTTTATTCGTAGGTTCGAATCCTTCCGTCCCAGATCTTTTTCTCATTATAAATTTTATTAAGAAAAATAAATAATTGCTATTTATTTATTTTTCTTAATAAAATTTATAAAAAATGTCATAAAACATATGTTTGTAGACAAATAACATCGATTCCGTGCGGTCAGAAATTCATACAGACACAAAGTCCGTCCGTCCGTCCGTCCACCCACCCACCCACCCACCCACCCATCCATCCATCCCCATCCATATATATATCAAGTTTTTGAAAGGCGAAAACGAGCCTCGAGGCGGTGGAGAAAAATACCTTGAGGCGTAAGCCTCGAGGCGTAAGCCTCAGTTCAGTTTGAAAAAAACTAAGCTAAAATGAATACTCCATGGTAATTACAGAATACATAATCCATAATCATGATGCTGAAATCTAAAGGCTTCAATTCCTGATTTTTGCAAAAAGTAATACCCGCTCATAGTTTTTAAAATACAAAAAAGAAGAGAGAATTACTCTAACAAATTTAAACAATAACATAAAACACAAAGTCACAAATGCCTCAAATCCGTCTTCAAACATGATAAAATGGATAAAGTTTCATGATTTTTTATCTACTTCATAACCAAAATTAGACAAGTTTATTTCCACTACATAATACAATGAAATTTGTAGTTAAGCGACCTTCATACAAATTAAACAAAAACCGTAGATGAATAGGGAGAGTAATGCTAGGAAAAGAAACAGAAATTTAAAGTTGGAAAAAAAATTTGAAAAAATTAGAAGGTGAAGTAATTAGAATATGAAGCAATTTTTGTCCATAAAGAAGAATATGAAGCAATTATGTTATGAAAATGGAGAGACCGAAGGAACAAAAGGTGCGTTGTGGATAGGGGGTGCTGAAGTTGAACAAGATGGAGAGGCTGAAGTGCTGCGCGAGAACTGTGCTAGGTTGACAATGGAGAGGCAGAAGTACAAGCAAAAGAAATCCTAATTTATCAAGTGTAAGAAGTTTTTAACAAAAATCTAATGCCCAAGATTTTTTTAAAGGCCCAATTCCTTTGTACGGAGTATCATTTAACCCATAGGTGCTGAATTTTTAATTTGAATAGAGGCTACCGCCTCAGTTTCGCCTCAACCGCCTCGTACCGCCTCGGCCAGGCAAGGCGTACGCCTCACATACCCTTACCAAGGCTTACGCCTCTGAGGCTTAAAAGGCTCGCCTCACCGCCTTACTGCCTCGAACGCCTTTTAAAACCATGATATATGTGTGTGCGTGTGTGTATATATATATATATATACACACACACAGAGAGAGCAACATAGAAACTTAAATTCAATTTTTGTATAATGAGTCAAGAATGAGTTCATACAAAATGGAAGAAATGACTGGATGGCATTCAACATCACAGGAGAAACCTCTTTGATATGATTGACCTCCTTAAAAAGAAAAAAAACAGAGGATGGATTACTATCATGATTAATTGAAAAGTAGGCCGATACCTCTAAGCATAAAAATGAAACCACAAAGGTTCAATGGCAGAGCTTAGTACCTGTAGGGTCTTTGCATCACTTGGAAATCCAGAAATTATCAACTGACGAACTATCTTGGAACACAAAAACCATCTCTGACAAGTTAAGTAAAGATCATCATGACATAGTTCAGATGTGTTCGTTCTGAAGCTTTGGGCAAGGGCTGAGAAACCATGCAGTATAGTTGGAACATCAGCCTGCCAAAGATGCCAGCAGAATTCAAAGAGTTGTCTTGATATCTGCCAAAGGTAACCAAAATAGCATCAATACAACAGTCGAAGAGAGGCAAGTTCTCTTTTTTCACAAAACACATGACAATATTGATTCATAAAAATGCAATCACAAGCAAAGGAATCAGGATAATCATTTAGTCATTTATTTTACTTGGGAAAGGCGAAAGGATTTTTTATAGAAGTCATTTATAAATAAATATAAGCCATTGCCTCTTCAAGTGCATGATCTAAAGTCCCTACAAAAAAAATTATACTGGTTTAGCTGCTGACTCATTGCCCAGTTATTTGCTAAACCTGCTTAATTTTCAAGTTCAGTCCATATATACTTATATTCGAACAAATATGTAAGGAATTGTTACATTCTGATCTGGATCTTAACTAGTAGGTGTTACTCAGTAAGAGCTTGATATATTTTGAATGAGCTGTTCAACAGATAGAAAAATGGTGGGGAAAACCAGAAAAACACTACAGACTGACAAGGTTAGACAATATATGAGTACCTGTACTGCAAAGCTCCAACATAAATAATACTCCCTCCGTCCCTGAATAATGTTCCAATTTTGGATTACGATGCTTGACCGAAGTAATTTTGAATTCTATATACATAAATATTGGTGTAGAATTAAAAAAAATAAATTTATATATTTAAAACTATTTCAAAAGTTCTACTCCCTCCGTCTCTAAATAGATTACAATTTTTTTTCTCTCTCCTCTCGATAACTTTTGTTTGTTTACGCAATTTCATTAAGTATTTGATGAAATAAAATATTCTTGTCACTTTTTGTTTTGTAGAACTTTTGACGTAGTTTTTTAATATGTAATTTTTATATCTTATTGATATGCCAATTTGTAAATAAAATGATTTCAAAAAGTAAGAAATTTTACTCCGTAACCTGCAATTTGTAATCAAATTGGGGACGGAGGGAGTATAAAACAAGTTGTGACAAGAATGTTTTATTTTATCAAATGATTGATGAAAATTGGTAAAGAAAGGAAATTTAGTTTGGTCCTTTAAACAGTAAATGGGAACATTATTTAGGGACGGAAGGAGTGATTGATTTTGGTTAGTAACATGACTATGTGAAGGGAGATAATATAATAAATTCACAGTTTGCATGAAATTACAAAATAAATGGCACAACTCAACCAGAATGTGTACCTCGGCAAAGTTTCTTTGGTCTGGGAGAAGAGGTTTTGTGGACAACTCCTTCAGAGTACGAAAAAGAATCATGAAAATTCTGTGGGTAGCTAGAATATCAGCTGATTGAAGCTTGTGGGCCAAACTGGAAAAATGCTCGGGCATGTATAGGAAGTTTACAATTGGTATTAGGCACACGGGAGTAATAGTACTTCAAAGTTCAAGACATCTGTGATATCATTATAGCCAAAAAGGCAAAAACTGCAAAGCAAAAGAATGCAGTATCATACAACATCAAGACGTGTTAGCTCTTTCACAGAAAAAAAAATGATACTCTAAGTGCAGTGCCAATGGAGTTAAAAGAATGAAGGCATTTTATCTCCAAGAAAATAATGGACTAGATAAATATGGCACATCGATACAATATACTTCCCTCGCTTCTTACTTTCCATGAAGTTTTGGAAAGTAACTGCCTAAATTAAATTTCCTTATTGCGGCACGACAAGATACTTTCTAAACATATATCCATCCCTGAAAAATGCACCCACAATTTTTGGGAAAGGTATACTATGATATAGGGAATCTATCCAATCAAGTTGACACTAAACTTGGGGAAATAAACAGATAGGTGGTTTTGTCAAACAAATCAAACAAGGAAGATAATGATTTGACTCCAAAACATTCAAATTAAGCTTATTTTCAAGTACAATTAACTAGACCATAACTTAAAACCACCAAAGAGATTCTTCTTCTTATATCAATCATCGTAGTCAGAGAAGGTAATCTTCTTCCCACAAAACTCCTTGCATTCTTCATCTATCCAAAGGCTTTCTCGTGGTAAGTAGCATTCGCACTAAAGCTTCTCTGCAAGGTTGTACTTGGGTCGGACAGGGTACTGAGCCATCTTAGCCACGTCAAGAATAATGAGGCGACCCGTCATTCCTCTCACTCTATTCTTCATTTTCAGCACCTTCTTTGCTTCGATAGCAGAAGCAAATTCAACAAAGCCACAGCCCACAAGCTTACTCTTGTGATTTACAATAAGTCGAACACTAAGTTCAACATCTTGGAAGAAAGTTAAGATTTCTTGTATTTTACATTTGACAGCGAGATTTGAAATAAAGAGTGTCTTTTTTCTCACAGAAACTTCCTCAACATAATCATCAAGTCCTTCTTCCACTGCCTCATCTTCTTCTATTGCCTCATCTTCTTCTATCAAAAGGTTTTCTCCCCGAAGGTAGTCTTTGTACCAAACCTTGTGATCTATGCACAACATGGTCGGTAGTGGAGTGAGTGGAGCTATCTCAGCCACGCCAAGAATAACATGACGCCCGCACAATAGTTCACCATTCTTCTTTTCCTGCGCCATCATGGCTTCGTCAGCAGAAGCAAACTCGACAAAACCATAGCCCACATGATAACCACCATTGTTTACAATAAGTCGAACATGAACAACTGCTGCAACATCTTTGAAGAAATTGATGATGTCAGATATCTGAGTTTGGGGAATCAGTTTGCCAATAACGAGCGTCTTATTTCTTAAGGCAACTGCCTCAACAAACTCATGTCCTTCCAGTGTCTCATTTTCTTCTATAAGAAGGCTTTGAAGGTAATCTTCGTACCAAAGCAAAGGATATATTCGATTCGGATTATATTCAAATATTCGAATATATGTATATACACAGACCGTGTTTTCAACATCAAAAATTAAAGTCAAGCAAAGTAATATAGTATAAAGTGTACTTAAAATACTAATAATTCAATAAATTAACGTAACACGAAAATTTAAAACATATAATTTTTAATAGTTATATTTTATAAAATATAATTTGTGTAAGATGCAAATGTATTAATGTTTTCATATACGGAATATAGTATAGTATAAAGAGTATCGTAAGTTAAATTACAAATTGATGTTGGTCCACCATATAAATTACATAGTATAATTATTCAAATATTCGTTTATGATTCGATAACTATTCGAATATTAATCAAATACTTATTCAAATCTTATTTTAATCTGTCTCATATTCGGATTCGGATTCGTAGTCGAAAAAATTAAACAAATACAAATTTAAATATATCGGTATTTGCTTCGATTCGATTCGTTTACACCCATATATATATATATACTAGCCTATTTACGCGCGTTGCGCGGATTGTGGTGCCCGATCAAAGTTTACTTAACAACAATTCCAAAAACATTGGGAATAACATTAAGGTGTATAAGACATTTAAAGTTGACCGACATGGTTGATACATTCCACATTCATAATAAGGTAATTTGATGAATGGCATGATTTTTGCTTGTATGGATTTTGATACCAGATTTCATACATATCCAATGCCCATGTCAGCATAATGGGTTTTTTAGTTTAAATTTTGTATCCATGTATATTAAGAAGACATTGTATAAAAGTAGAGTATTAGAGTGAATAATGTGAGCATAGTGTAGTCTCAATTTTTACATCTTTTTTTAATTCCAACAATAAAGTAGTGTGTATTCAGTTGTTTTGTGAAAGATTAAAAATTTTGAAATAATCATTGATGAACCTTGAGTATAATGTTTGAAAACCAAAAATGGCATTTTAAAACAGATACTACCAAGTATAACTTGATAATACAAAAAATGTAATGTTTAAAAGTATAATGAATTTTTTAAGACAAGAATTTATACAATGAAGAACAAAATTACACGTGAATTATTAATTTTATAATCTATATTTTTTAACCCCACTCATTGTAAAAAATTATGTCTCTAATAATGAGGTTCTAAAATTTACTTTGCCTTGTCGTCAAGAATTTTATGCATGATTATTTATTGTTTGTTTATCATATGACATTCAAAGAACACTCATTTCTCCACTATTTGCTATCGCGAGAACCTTAGCTCCCTAATATTAAAAAAATAATACATTAAATGAAACATAATTAACAGCTAGCTTATGCCCATCTATGTTTGCGAGATTATAAAATGATTCATTTACAAGATTAAAAGACTTTTTGATCCAGCAACACATAAGGCATATACTTATTCTGACTGAACCTTGTGTATCTATTGTTGTGTTTTTCAACAACTTTCACTTTGCATGTTCATTCAACCTTGTTGTCTTAATATGACTAATTATTTTTGTTGTTATCGTCCCTATAATTAAAATATGTTTTACTAACATAAGGAAACATGCTTTGATACAAATCATTATTTATTCAAAGTGTGTAAATCCATAGCATTTATTTTATACAGGTCATTTTGAAGGATTTTCATTTTTCATATAACAAATTAAAACTTTCCACGTCCCATTTTAATTTTTTAGATGATTCTTCTATGGACAAATTTTCACTCCTTACGCCTCAATTCTTGACTCGTACCTATAATTTTTATTAGAAAATGTCTATTCTATGAGAAATAAATAAAAACAATCTAGATTTATGGTAACTCAAAAAAGACTAATTAAAACGAACTTAAACGAAAACACTTTGCGCTTAATGAAATCATTTCATTCTTCATGAAACACTTCTACCTAAATGAAAGCTCCCTACTTCCCAATTCGATTAGTAAACTGATTCTTCAAGAAAAATTAGAAAACTCTCTACGTCCCAAGTTTTTAGTTCTACATATTATTTTTTTAAAAAAATAATTATTTTTAATAATCAAAAGAATCAACCAATATTTTTGGAAACCCAAAAAACACTAAATAATTTTCAAATCAACTTAAATGAAAACACTTCTTCCTAAATGAAAAGGTTTCATTCTTATGAAGTTATTTAAAAGATATAGTGTTTAAAAACCAAAAAAATCATGAAATTTGAACACGTGGTAAATGAAAGTCATTTTAAATCATTTTAATATATCAATTTGAGAAATAAAAACTCTCTACGTCTTAAATTAATTTGTAAACAAATGATTATTTTGTTCAACCAGTTTATTTATGAATGTTTTTAAATGAGCTTATGTGAAAATATTCCTCCCTAAATGATAACATTTCATTCTAATGTAACATTTTAAAATCTAAAAACTTTGAGAACTGAGCACAGAGTAAATACAAGTTATTTTGAAAGATTTTCATCATTCATACAAAAAAAAATTACCGGCATCCCAAGTTGATTTGTAAATTTAATCTTTAATGGAAAAATTTAACTCCCTATGTTTCAATCATTGAGCCGTACCTATAATTTTATTAAAAAAACATTATTTACTGTGAGTAGTGAGCAATCAACTAAGAATTACGGTAATCGAAAAAAGACTATATTTTTTAAAAAATAACATAAATGAAAATACTCCTCGCTAAATAAAATCATTTTATTCTTATGAAACACTTTGGCCTAAATAAAAACTCTCTACGTCCCTATTTGTTGTAAAATCATTCTTCTGGGGATAAATTAAAACTCTCTATGACCTATTTTTTGAGTCTTATATATTATTACTTAAAAAACTTTATTTATTTCCAGTACTGGACACAATCAACCAAGATTTTGGGTAATCCAAAAAAGGCTATTTTTTTCAAAATCAACTCAAATGAAAATGCTTCTACCTAAATGAAAAAAATTCATTCTCATACAACTATTTTAAAAACTAAATTGTAAAGCCAAAAAATCATGAGAATTGAGCACATGGTAAATGTAGTCATTTTGAATCATTTTTTAATCATTTGACAAATAAAGACTCCCCACATTCCAAATTAGTTTATTAAAGTATTGATAATTTTGTTCAACCATTATGGAATTTTTGGATTGAAATATATTGCATTCAAAAATTGATGAACTAAATTAAACTTACCTAAAAAATGTTTTTGGAATTGTTTTGTAATTAGCCGCGCAATATAATGGTCTACCAAATTCTTGAGTTGTACCTAATAAATTGGAAAAAATACCTAAATGATTGTTATTATACACACACACACACACTTCACACACACAAAAATATATTTTATTAGAAATTGATGATGAAAAATTTCACATACCTCAAAGCATCTGAGCATGGTAGATAACAAAAGAAACTTAAAAGCATTTAATCAATATCACTTATAAAGTAATGAATAGCAATTTGGAAATATAAATGTGACATGAATTCTCAAGGAAACATCTTAGTAACGGTGTAATGGCAAAGTTGGAAATAAATAATAGTGTACAACATACAAAGCATAATGTACAACTATTTTGGATGGAAAAAGTGCATAAAATTAAGGGGTACCTAACTCTCTTTCTCATTTATATAATATAGAAGATATATATATATATATATATATATATATATATATATATGTATGTATATATATATGTATATGTATATGTATATATATATATGTGTATATGTATATATATATATGTATGTATATATATATATGTTTGATTAATATTATCTAACTATAAAATACTTCGCATCTCTTTTGCGAGAAAAATTTTAATTTTAATATAATATTGATGTACATGTATTAAAATTTATATAAATCTTTATTTTGAGATGTAATAAAAAGGAAAATGATGAATAGTTTATTAAAAATCACATCACTCTTTATTTTTTAAAGGATTAATAAAGTTTATAAAATATTTTTTTAGATAAAACCTAATTATGTACAAAATATATTTTTAAATAGTGTAACGCATAAACTCTAAAATGAATACAAACATTGAATAAAATATATTAAGATTTTTAATATATATACCCCATCTGTTTCATAAAGATTATCATAGTTTGATTTTTTTGGTAAAAGTGTGTAACACTTTGATTACAAATTAAATATAATTTTCAATAACTAAATGTGATAAAAATTTGATATATAAAAAAATATTTTAAATGGACACATTTTTTGTAAATTTATACTCCTTCCGTCCCATAAAACCTTTCTCCTTTCTTTTTTTATCCGTCCCACAAAACACTTCTCACTTTTACTCCTTACTTTTTCATACCCTAACTATCACATCATAACTTTTTACTAATAATCTATCCATCAAATCATACTTTTACCTATCACATCAAAGGACATTTTTGGAAATTCAATACCAAAATACACTCCCCTGAAATCACTCCTAAAAAGCAAAACTCCCATGTTTCATGGGACGGAGGGAGTATTATAACTAAATATAATATACTTTACAATTTTTTCACAATTTAAATCGTTTGTTTTCTTGACCGATGCAAATGAGATGATTTATTTGGTCGTTTTTGTAGTAGTGACACTTTGTGATCAAAGTATAGAGCAACTTGACCAAAAATACAAACTTGTGATAACTTTTTGGTAGGAAGAGGTATTATATTTCAAAAGGGTTATCAAATGATTTAATGATGAGATTTGATTTAATCAATGAAAAATAAAATAAAAATGCCAATGAAATCAATCAAGTAATGAAAATTGCATAAGTGGTATATGGCCTATATGTCATGTGTTATCCTTCTACAAAAACAAATTTATGTAGTTTAATTTGTTGAAATAATATATTAAAAATTAAATAATGTTACAGATAAAACATTTTGAAATAAAATATATAATTATGGCTCATATCAATTCTCTTTCCTTTACACAAACAACAACCACCAAAGTATCATCTTTAGAAAAATTGTGCAAAGTCAAACTCATTAGAAAATTCTTACGACGGAAGGAGTATATGACATGCAGCATGTATCATCTTTCAACTCTAACTTTGCTTTTGTTTGGTTTGTTGAAAAAATATACATTGTAGACTAAAATATACTTCTTAGTATGTAATAGTATAAAATTTTGAAATAAATCTTGCATTTATTAAATATTTATATGTGATAAAAAAATTACAATACTATTTTGAAAGTTGTTTGAGTTTTTAAAAATTAAAATAAAAATGTCAAATAGATCAATTAAGTATTGACACATTATTAGAGAATGTATATCTATCATGTGCCAAATGTAATTCTTTAATTAAACTTTCACTTTGTTTAGTTAGCTGAATGAATATATAATCAAGATACATGTGTGAAAAATTTTATATATAATATTTCTCTTGAGATGATGGATAATTTAAAAATTATAAGAAACATTGTTTTGTAATATATAAATCTTATATATATTTTTTAAAAATATAAAATAGTCATGCATATTTAAAAAATATGTTAAAACAATGAAAAATGTTTCTTAAATAATTAGATACAGGGGAGGATCTACCTGTACGAATACGTGGGTAGTTGCTCCCAGTCAATTTCTTTACTTCATAATAAATAGTATTAAAATAATTGTTTTTGTAGGGAATTAAAAAAGAACCGCGAAAAAAATTAGTTTACCCCCACTAACAAAAGAAAATCTTAGTTTAAAAGTAAAAAATAACCGCTTAAAAACATGTACATGTAAAATATTTGAAATATTATAATTATATTATGTTCTGATATATTTTATATTTTATTTTCTACTTTAGAAATAATTTTTTTTTATTTGTTTACTTGTTTGAAATTAAACTTATTTATTTTTTATCATTATCAAACTCTTTAAAAAAATTTGAGAGTGTCATCCTTGAACCTCACCATACTCTTTAGTGTGTATTTTCCTCGAGTCATATCTAAATTAATTCTATCTAATTTAGATAGTGAAAACTTTACAAAGTTTGGTGCACACATGTTAGTAGTATGTTAGTATAGTAGTATGCACGCGTGACTGCCACGTGAATTAATATTAGCCACATCACAGGACGCGTGCCAACACTAAAACTCTTGAACTCTCGTTTTCAATCATTATTCAAATAAATGTTTGTCATCATTTGATATTATTCTTCCTTATGGACATTATTAAAAGTGCTATTTAGGGATTAAAACAGTTTAAATACAAAATATTATTTAGGAAAATGGATTAAGTTTTAATGCTATTTAAAGCAAATATTTCAATAAAAAAGCTAATTATAGATGAATAAGAAAAGCACACGAGCCTGACGAGGGGTAAATTTCACGTATGGTACACCAACTTTGACGTTTGTTTCACTTCGGTATACAAACTTTGTTTTCTTTTAGAAAAGTACACCAACTTACCAGTTTGTTTTTTTCACTGACGGTATTTTAGCCGGTTTCTAGATACTCATCCGGTTATCAATCCTTCGTGGATGCCTACTCAGCGCACCCAATCCTACGTGGATGCCTACTCTTCCATTTTTTTACAATATTCATCATTTTTAATATAAACTTATTTAAATTAATGCAAATATTTTTTTATTAAAAAAAATAAATAGATAATTATAAATAAAATAAAAGTATAAATTCAAAATTAACAAAAATAAATAAAAAGATTAAAATTAATTAAATATTAATTATTGGAATTAAAAAATAAAATGAAATTAAAAATTCAAAATTGATTACATTAAAGAAGGGTATAGAATTAAAACAAATGAAATTAAAAAAAAATGAGGAAAAAATAAAAAGATTAAAATTAATTAAATAATAATTATTGGAATTAAAAAATAAATTTGAAATTTAAAATTCAAAATTGATTACATTAAAGAAGGATTTAGAATTAAAACAAATGAAATCCTTTATATATAATATTTGGGAGTTAAACTTCCAGAATGTTGACATTTGGCACGTCTACAAGGCATTTTTTAAACCAAATCAGCATGCCATGTCATGTGGTGCCATGTGGATGTGGTAGCACCCAAATGTTTTTAATTTGGTTTGACCGGGCTTTAATTTCTTACTCTATTCACGCGATGTCCAGCAATCTTGACGGAAATTTTCCTTCTTCGTTCCCGATGATTCAGCTAATTTCCTTCTTCTTCTTCTTCAACGATGTCCAATGAGCTTCCTTCTTCGTTCGTAATATTTCCAATCCTCGCCCTCAAATTCCCGAAATTTGCTTCTTCTTTTGCAGAGTCGTTTCCTTCTTCGTTCCCAGATTTGTTTCTTTCTTCGATGCCAGTGCATGATTCAGACAAGAACTGTTCTATCAGATTTGTTTCCTTCTCGAATTGAGTTAATTTACTGAAATTTTCAACTCGGATCATCCAAATTGTCCCAAATAAAGCTTTGAACAAGGATTCTCGACCAATTGGCGGACGTTAGATCGGAGATGGTGTGCTGGAGCCAATCATCGTGGAGTTCACTACATTGGGCATCCTCAGGTATTTCTTTTTAATCTCCATTTTTTATGCTTAGCAATCCAGTTATGAAACAATTTTTTAATATATATTGATCATTATTGAATAGATTTATAAACATATGTCGTTCACATTCCAGACCGGAAACACCATTCCAGATTTCAATCATTGGTTACATATGTTCAAAGATGTGTATGTTAATCATCGTTCTTTAGATCTGTTTTTATGATTTAGCCTTTAGTTTAATATTGTATATATTAGAATGACTAGAGGTATTCAACAATTTAAATTCTTATGTTCTCTATAAGTATTATATTGTGAATCTACTTTTTTTGTCAGACCCTTCTGCTATAATTGAGGTAAAAGAAATTTTATGCATAGATGTTGGATTATTTGAGTGGAAATTATTCCTGTATCTACATCGTATTGACGGCATCGATATTTCGTAGACATTGTTCAATTGCTCACCATTTCCCTTATTTTCATTATATTATCTCATCAATTTAATTCTGCCTATCATTGATTTTTTCACCATTTTGTTTCCTTTTCCTATGCCAGAGCATGATATCTGCCACAATTGTGTTATCAAATCTGTTTCCTTCTTAAATTGAGGAAATTTGCTGAAATTCTCATCTCCAGTCATCCAAATGGTCCCAATTTAGGCTTCGAACAAGGATTCTCAACCAGTTGGTTGTCATCAGATCAGAGATGGAGTGCGAGAGTTAAGCATCGCGGAGTTCATTACATCGAGCATCCTTTGGTATTTTTTTTCTAATCTCCATCTTTGATGCTTCAACAATCAGTTATGAAACAATTTTTTAATATATTTTGATCATTAGTGAATAGATTTATAAACATATGTCATTCATATTCCTAATCAGAAACACCATTCCAGATTTCTTTCATTTATTAAATATGTTTGAAGATTTTTATGTTAATAATCATTCTTTAGAGTTTATTTTCACACTTTAGTTACGTCTATACATACTACTTTTACTACTAGCTTTATAAACATACTAGCTTTTTACTAGACTTTCTAAATCTTGGAGTATACTGGCTTTATAAACATACTAGCTTAATAGCTTTATATTGGCTTTATAAACATACTAGCTTTATACTACATTAAAAACATACTGGCTTTACACTATATTTATTATCCTAAAAAACTGCTGAAAATACACACTTGGTGTTGTTCAGATTTTTGTCTCAAAACAAGATTGAAGCCATATGATTCTTTTATTCTAAATCAGCAAAAACATTGTTTCCCTGAATTAAGATAAGTTTGAATTGATTTCAAATTTTGTTTTTTGGAGAGTTGGAATTTGTGTAGACTAGGAAACAAAATCTGGGCAGTAGAAATAAAATGTGGGCCTTAAGGCTGAATATGTTCACCACCATCATTGGGGTTGGCATTATTTCAACAGCTACATTGTATTAGAATCAGTTGAAAAATGAAGAACCATTTTTATGACTACATTAGAAGTAACATAATGACCAGATGCACATCTGTAACCATTATAAATGAGGAGACCTCTTATTTATCTTAATTAAATAAGAATTTTTGAAGTACTTTTGTGCTTTATAAACATGTGAGGTAGAAGGGAACTAATTCTATCTCAACGGGAAGAATGAAATCATAGGCATTTTGATTCCAAAGTCAACAGCGTCAATGATACAAAATATTGATCCTGCCATTTTTTGCAGCTTAATGTGCACTTGCACACTCTGCCAAAAGATATTCTACATGGCAGACTTAGCATGTGGAAGTAGTTTGGGCAGGTTAAAAAGTGCTTCAGTGCCAGCAAAACTACAAATGTTAGCCTTACAAGAATGGTATTTTTCAAGGTGAGCAACTACCCTTTTGTGGTGTACCTGGAGGATGAATTGGCTTAAAAAATCCCTTTTACACTACATTTGATTGTTGTTTAACCAAAACATGGGAAGCAAATGTATGCTCATTTACTTAGGTATGGTTGGTGGTACCTCACATTTATCTATAACAAGAATGTGCCCATTTATCCAGTCTTCTTTTATTGATATGGGAAGAGTTGTGTATTTTCCCGATGACTTCACAATGACTACCCAACACTAAATACACGTCATTAAATAACACTTTGCATCTTAGAACATGTTATTTTTATTCTAATTAGAATCATATCATAAACAACTTTAACCTTTACTAGAATGATAATAGTTTAAACCAGATCAATCATAAATAAGAAAAATTAGATTACACTTTAATAGATTTAGAACAGAACTAATCAAATCAGACTTTTAGTCTGTATGTTTAAATCATATTAATACTCTGTGCACAGTCGCTCATAGTCTAATTTGCACAAACCATTGCACCATTATCTTGCATTTGTCACATGCAGAAACTATTTCACAATTCTATTTATGTCGTATCTAACATTCTATATTATATTTACCTTTATTTTATAATTATTTACTTAAAACAATATAAGCAGAATTAAAATTAACATGCGTTCGGGTTAAAATACTAGTTGGAAAAAAAATTGAGGAGGAAGAAGCTAAAAAATGAAATTGGTTCACCGTCATCTTCCACACCGGTTTGGCTTCTCAGAAATTGGACCCCTCATCTTCCTCACCGTCATCTTCCTGAGGAAATTGGTTCACCGTCATCTTCCCCGCCGGGAATTGGACTCGACCCGACACAGGCTTTGTGATTAACGACGCCTAATTTTCCTGCAATTTCACTCTTTAACCCATTTCCACCTCGAAGGGTTTCAGATCTGCTTGTCGATTTTGCATTTAAGCAATCGATGTTCTTCTCCTCTCTTGTCGTCTTCATATTCAAGTCCAACTAAATGGGTGACACCAAAAAGGTCTATACTCTGTCCGAAGTCTCCCAGCACAACCATTCCAAGGACTGTTGGCTCATCATCGAAGGCAAGGTTAGTCTCCATATGAACAGAGATTGAATTTGCTCTGTTATTGTTTAGATCTGTTAAAGATGGGTGCGTCAGAGGATAAGTAGGCATCCACGTAGGATTGGTAACCGGATAAGTACCTGGAAACCGGCTAAAAAACCATAGGTGAAAAAACTGGTAAGTTGGTATACTTTTCTGAAAGAAAACAAAGTTTGTATACCGAAGTGAAATAAACGCCAAAGTTGGCAGTAGATCCTAAAAGATCCTCCACACATTAACATTAACCAATTCAAGTTGCATTTTTCTACTTGACCCTCTGTGGTTCACCACCCCCCGAACACAACCCAGGAATTAAAAAAAAAATCTTGTAAAACTTCTCCTGAGAAAATTAAGGTTTGTATTAATGGAGAGTGATTCGGGATCGGAGTACAAGGAAACCTTGCTGCAGAAAGAAGATACAATATACTATGAGAACTGCCCAGGGTGTAAGGTGGAGCAGCAAAAGGAATTGCAGAGGGGAGTTCCAATAAAACTGCTCCTCAGCGTTTGGACTATTGTTCTCTGTACATGTATGCCGCATTCTTATTTCTTCATTACACACACATAGACACAGATATTTTATATATATATATATGTGTGTGTGTGTGTGTGTGTGTATGTATATATTCTACTTATTCGGTCTTAGTCCTGCTCAATTTAAAACCTTTGGGGATAAGTACTGCAGTATGCAAAATTTTCATGTTTGGTTTTTATTCCATTTTAAGGGATTGTTTGCCACAGAATCTTAAAATTATGTTATATGCTAAGATGAGATTATACTGGGTTGTCCTTGTTGTTGCTGTTGTTGTTGTTCTTGTTAGTTTTGTATCATTACCTCAAACATGGTTTCTTATCCAATACAAATGATTTGCCTTTTATTAGTGTAAAATTGAATTCCATGCCTCCCTTAACTTGTTTTGGAGTGATATATTATGTGATATGGTGATAAACAAGTTCTGGTTATGTTTCATGCGTTGTACGTGCACCTCCAACTCTGCAGCACTCCCTATATCGTCTCTCTTTCCTTTCCTTTATTTCATGGTAAGATGCACCTTAATCTCTGCCCTCATTCTTAACAATGCTCGAGGGAATCCAACCATTTACACGTGTATATTTTCTGTTGTGGCAGATAAGAGATTTCAAAATTGCTGGGACTGAAGAAGATATTGGTTACTATGCAGGTTATGTAGGTAGGCTAATGTTTTCTAGTTATCTCGGGTCTTGACGCTATAGTTTTTGATTAATCACAGTAAATATCATTTCCCCTGAAGGATCGGCATTCATGTTGGGAAGGGCAGCTACATCTGTGTTTTGGGGGATAATTGCTGACCGTTATGGCCGAAAACCAGTTATTATATTTGGCACTGCATCAGTGTAAAGTTCACTCACCTCTCTGGCTCTGTCATTTCATTCGTCTCTGGCGAATTCAAACAGTATTCGATCTTAAAATGTATTGATATGATCTCAGGGTTATATTCAATACTCTCTTCGGTTTTAGCATAAACTTCTGGATGGCAATCATAACCAGATTTCTTCTTGGAAGTTTAAATGGTTTGCTTGGACCAATAAAAGTATATTTTTCCCCTCACGATTATTTAACACCACTCACCATTTCATTTAGTTATCACTTCGATGCTCTCAGTCACCTAACTTTTTTGAATTTGTAGGCATATTCTGTAGAAGCTTTTCCAGAACAGTACCAATCGTTGGGACTCTCAACGGTGACACCTTTATAGTCAAATAACAAGTATTCTATTTTAAAACATTGAAGCTCTTACTTTTTTTCTGTGTTTTGTTCTGTTTAAGGTAAGCACAGCTTGGGGTATAGGGTTAATCATTGGTCCAGCTCTGGGAGGTTTTCTTGCACAGGTATTTACCTATAATATAATTAATATCTGGAGGGGGGGGGTGTGAATTGTAAATTTGTAATAAATTTTATTTTTGTGGTGATTGGTTTACTTTTGAACTAAGCCTGCAGAGAAGTATCCTTTACTATTCTCAGAACACTCTCTATTTGGAAGGTAATCATTCCTCATCTTCTATCGCCTTACATTCTCCTTAGTTTTGCTCACGTATTTCTGAATGCTCATTGAGTACAACATATAATGATATAATGTCTTGTGCAGATTTCCCTACCTTTTGCCTTGCTTGTCCATTTCTCTTTTTGCATTGATTGTGACCATATTCACATTTTGGTTGCCGGTAGACCCCTTTTTTTTACAGTACAGTTAGTTTCAATATGAGGAAGTGCCTGCTTTTTTTCCCTATGTTTTGACTCAACTCGCATGCATGTAGGAAACAATGCACAAGCATGGTTCACCGAGTCTTTCATCTTGCGATTCATACAAGGCTTTAGAGGCTGCATCTCAAGTAGACAAGGATAAGGAAAAACCGGCTTCCAAGAAGAGCATACTCAGAAACTGGCCATTAATGTCATCCATCTTAGTATATTGTGTTTTCTCTCTTCATGATATGGCTTATACCGAGGTATATATATGCATTTGTTATACTATGAGTAAATTATTTCAATGGATAAACAATTCATAATATATGGAGTGACATAGTAAAGTTTACATGACTCGTTGTTTTTAATAGATATTCTCGTTATGGGCTGAGAGTCCACGAAGACTTGGAGGATTGAGTTATTCTTCAGATGATGTTGGAGTGGTTCTTGCCTTCTCTGGTGCATAGTCTAATTGTCTACTAATACATTTATATATTTTGTACAAGTTCCACTTTTCATCATTCCAAAATTTCATTTTTTTTTGAACAAAGCACAAATTATATTACCTCCCAAATATCACCAACCAGTACAAAGGAAATCACAAATGCAATACAACCAAAACAGAGAACACTAGCCCACTACAGCCACCCCTATAAACACAATAGCTACTTATTAATGGAAATGAAATTAATCTGTTCAACAATAGCCTTCAAAGTGCTCTCCTTGGTCATCTCTTTGTTGTGCTGCTTTGAGTTCCTAGCTTTCCAAATGTAATAGCAACATATGGCAATGCAAGCAGCACTGAGGCTCCTATCTTTCCTATTCTTCCCTTCCTTTGGTTTCTGTCCCAATTCAGCAATAGAACAAGCAATAAGGTCATACTGAATAAAACCAGAGACATTAAGGAAAATGTCTACTGCAAAAGGGCAACTGCAAAATAGGTGATCCACTGTCTCCCTTTCCTTGGCGCACATTATACAGGTAGGATCAATTGGCAAGAAACCACTCAATCTGTCCTTTGTCAGTAACCTACCTCTCCATATCAACCAAGCAATGAATTGATGTTTAGGAACAGAGGATTTATTCCATACCAACTCAGCCCATTCAACTCTAGATTGGTTTCCAGCCAGCCATTTGTAACCTTCTTTCACTGTGTACTCACTTGAACATGACATCCCAGCAAATTCTTTCCTGACCAACATCATCTTCTTCCAATAATAGCAATCATCAGGTTTATTTTCATATGACCATATGGATTTATTCTTCAGGTATCTACTGTGTACCCATTTAACCCACAGTATATCTTTCTTAGTTGCAATATCCCAAAATAATTTCATAATACAGGCCTTATTCCATACCTGCAGATTCTTCAAGCCCAGTCCTCCTTCACATTTGGATCTGCAGACTTCTTCCCATTTGACCAGAGGGGATTTCTTATATTCTGAGGAGGAGCCCCAGAGAAAATTCCTACATACAGCCATGACCTTCTGCATGACCTTACAGGGCAGCAAGAAAATTCTACACCAAAAGGAAATCACCCCATAAAGAACAGAATTGATCAGCCTCACTCTCCCTGCATAGGAAATATGTCTTGTTGCCCAGGAGGACACTTTCAGAGTAATCTTTTCAACCAACAGATCACATTCTTTGTCACTCAGACGAGCATCTGTAATTGCCCCCCCCCCCCAAGTATCTAAAAGGAAAAGACCCTTTTGACATTTTAGTTTGACCAAGGATTCTGTTTTGTAGTTCATCAGAGACTCCCCCTATTATCACTTGAGACTTGTCATAGTTAACTTCAAGGCCTATTGTGTTTTTAAAATGCTCAAGGCATTTAAGGATGCAGTCTATAGATTCTGTATCAGCACTACAAGCCACAATCAGGTCATCAGCAAATATAATGTTGATTAAATTAAGAGATTTGCACCTGGGATGAAACTTGAACTGACTCCTTTTAGCATGGAATAAGAGTGTCCTTGTCAAGTATTCCATTACTAGAGTGAAAAGCAATGGAGAAATTAGGTCACCTTGTCTTATTCCCTTACCCCCTTTAAAAAAACCAAAACATTCCCCATCAAGTTGTACAGAAAAAGCCATGAGGTCACACAGAAGTGAATCCAGGTTATGAATTTTTGAGGGAATTTCAAACCCTCCATAATTTGGAACAGACCTTTCCAACTAACAGAGTCATATGCTTTCTTTAAATCCAGTTTCATTAGACATCTAGGGCTAATACCCTTCCTATTGTAACCCCTAGCCATCTCTTGACATAACAACACATTATGCACCAGCTCCCTCCCCTCAATAAATGCACTCTGATTAGGGTTTATCAAGCTTGGCAGTACTTCCTCAAGCCTGCTGGAAATAACACCTTATAGACCACATTTCCAAAATTTCATTTTGCGGTTTAAAAAGTATATAATATTTGTTCTCTTCCTTCATCAGTGATGTGAAGCCAATTCTTAATACATTTCACAGGGTTCGGTCTTCTAGTCTTTCAACTCTTCGTGTATCCCTTGGTTGAGAGATATTTTGGCCCGACAATGACAACAAGAATTGCAGGAGTAAGTAATTAATGAAGAAGTATAATGTTTAAACTGATGTCAAATGCCATCAGACTTGGTTTGGGAACATAATTTATTTTTATTTTATTGAACTTGATTTTGCGTTTGATGGCTTCGCTCATACAGATTTTGTCAATACCCCTGCTAACAAGCTTCCCGTACATTGCATTGTTGTCGGGCATCACCCTCTCCCTGGTGTTAAACTGCGCCTCTATCATGAAGAACGTTCTGTCTGTAAGTGGATTTCATGATCTTGGTGTCATTATCTGAACTGTTAAGATAATCTCGCTTGCTTAGATGATGCTTCTCAACGAGACATGATTAACTTTTAACTCACTGCTCATACGTGTATAAATTTGTACCGACACAAAATTACGATACATAATTTTATGCACAGAAAAACAGGATGAAATTGATTAGAGGATATATAATTTAATTTGGGCATTTTATTAACCACTTCTAACTTATTGTTTTGTATGTTCAGGTTTCAATCGTAACAGGATGTTTCATACTGCAGAACAATGCAGTGGTAATATTTCACTCATGATATATATTTTTATTCTTATTATTATTCCGTATTATTATTATTATTATTAGGTTGAGAAAAGTATAAACAGATAATAGAGTAAATGGCATTCAAAAAAAATTATAATTCATTCAATCCTTTTAGAATAAATTCTATGAATAGTCCCTTATAATATGGTATTTTCCATAAATAGTACATTTGAGAATTACCGAGTATTCTATAATAAGCCCTTTGACCCAAATGTTATTTTCCATATATGACTACGAAGGCAATTTCTTAGAATTGAGGACAATTTATAGAAAACAACAAAGGGGCCATTTCTTTGTCACCTGGTTTCTTTAATTTGTTGCCATGACTGTAGGACCAAGATCAAAGAGGAACCGCAAATGGCATTGCAATGACTGCAATGTCAATTTTCAAAGCTTTAGGTCCTGCAGGAGGAGGTACACTGTGAGTCTCCCCCTCCCAGCCCCCAAAAGAAAGTTGATAATTCAACACATTTGTATAGTTGATAATCTGTTTTTTGTATTATCTGTAGATTTTCTTGGTCCGAAAAGCGCCAAGAAGCTGCCTTCCTTCCAGGTATACAAATAGTCGTGGTCCATTTGCGATTTCAGAATAGTAAATGAAATTTTGTTGCTCACCTATGTATCTCATAAAAATATGTTATACTAGTATATTTTATATATATATATATATATATATATATATATATATATGTATGTGTGTGTGTGTGTGTGTGATTAAGCTATTCATTGTTCACAAGGCAATCAAATGACATTCTTTGTTCTGAATGTGATTGAGGCTACTGGCATACTGCTCACGTTTAAACCATTTCTTGTTACACGTTAAGCTACAGATTGATCATCTATCCTTCTCAACGTTCTTCTGGCACCATGCATGCAAATCATTCATTAATTTCCATGGAGTAGTTTGCCCCAACCATGGAAATTAAAATGCAGATTTTTTTAATATTTCAATGATCTCCCAGATTCTCCGTTGCTATTAATAAATAGGTAAAGGGTGTCTCCCTTATATGGTGGTTCACTTTATATAACTATACATACTACGTATTATTTTTGTGTAACATTTAAAAAATAATTTTATTCTTGTGAGACACACCTTTGCATTAAAAAAATAATTTTATTCTTGTGAGACGCACCTTTCCTAGATCCTACTCTTGGAAACATCTATACTTTCGAGTAAAGGCAATGTCTGCATACACGCACTCTTCCCAGACCTTACTATCGTTAGGTTCAACTTCATCGTTGTTGTTTACTGCAGTTTAAAGAATAAAACTTTCTGTGTTGCCTACATATCCTAATAAAGGGGATCAAGCTAGCCACACGTAGTTTAGATCAGAGTTGGTAAATGGGACACATAAACCTTCAAAACGCATGATCAATGAGAATGCTTTCCTAAAAAATTTATCTATCCTATTAAATAGTTTGTAAGTAGCAAGGGTTAAAGGATAGAACTTTTGAGATATAATAAAGGATACAATTATTCGGCTGTTCAATGATTCAATTTGCTGATGTACTCTTATGAGAGTTACCCCAAAAAGAGATTAAGATATGCGGAAAAATAAGTTTTCATTAATTAATGCCGAGTATTTCATTACTTCCTCCGTCCCAATTTATAGCGTCTGTTTCGATTTACGATGTTTGACTGAAATTATTTTCAAATCATTTTATATAATAAATGGTATAGAGTTAAAAAATAAAAATGACATTAAAATACTACATCAAAAGATCTACAAAACTAGTGATGACAATAGTACTTTATTTTATCACATTGCTAATGAAAATAGAGAAAGAAAGTGAATGAAGTTTGACCCTGTGAATAGTGAACATGCATTATAATTTGAGACGGAGGGAGCATCATAGAACAAACCTAGAAAAAAATGATCCCCTTCCCCTTCGGTCTGCATGGAAAATGTTTAGCTGCCAGTGGCCGTTGATCCCCCTTTTTTCTACAAACCCTAACATTTCAACACCAAAAATCACCTTTTTTTAAATTTTGAAAATTAAAAAATAATAAAAATAAAATAGCAACACTGCTCAACCACCGGTCAGCGGCGGCGCCAGGCGGCAGAGCAACGGTGGTTGCCGGTGACCGGCGGGCGGCGGCGGATTCTGGCGACTGGCGGCGGATTCCGGAGATCGGTGGTGGATTCCGGCGACTGGCGGCGATAGGTGTCGGATTCCGGCGACAGGGGGTGGTAGGCGGCGGCACGCGGCGGTCAAAGGTCAAAGTCTAGTCAGCACCTCTTTCTTTGATTTTATTTTTTCAAAAAAAATTCGAAGTGTTGAAAAAATAAGATGAGCTTTACTTTACAGTTTGGTGGCTTTGTAGTTGTCCTTGGTGAGCTTTGCAGTTGGCAGTAGTAAGCTTTGCAAGAAAACCCCTCAAATAGGAGTAAAACATATACCATATCTTTAAAATAGGAGCATAAACTTAAACTACTCTAAATAGGAGTAACTAATTAATTAAGTAATAAAAAATCTACCGTGCTGCCTGCGATCTTGACACTACTCCACACTCACCACATGCAATAATGGTGGGTTATTATTTACTCCATATATACTTGGTCTTCTAAGTGTATTTTGCCAATATTGAAAAGTCAAACTCCCTCATGCAAGTGTTATTTAGTCTTAGCTTCTAAGTGTATTTTGTCACACAAAACAATTGGTCTTTTTTACATACACCCTCCGTTCCTAAATAAACTTCCATTTTTGACTTTTTGAAGATTTAAGAGAGGGATATTTTTGTGTTAACTTTCCAAAAATACCCTTGATGTGATGTTTTAAAGTAAGATGTGATAGGTAGATTATTAGTAAAAAGGTATGATGTGATAGGTAAGGTATGAAAAAGTAAGGGGTAAAAGGGGTTTTTTAAAGGAAAAGAGAAGTTTATTTGGAGACAAAGAAAAAACGAAAGGGGAAGTTTATTTAGGGACGGAGGAAGTATTAAGTATGAATCAGAGCTTCCAATTATTCTTTTTCATGGGGATCTGCAAAATGTTAGGAAGTACATTAATAAAAGATAGAGATACGATCTGGGCACCTTGATTTCTATTCTTTCTTATAAAATTTTGATTTTACAATAATTGAACTGAATTGTTTTTTGACATTATACATGAACAAGTTTGTCATTATGTAGTGATATGTTTGTCATTGTGCATTGTCGTATTTGGCATTGTAGATTCAATTGCCACTCATGCTATGCATTTCTATGTATCATTACAATAGCCCATTCAGTCTTTGTTTTATTAAAAAGGAACATTTAACCCTTATCAATGGCCACCGCCGTATGTATATGAAATGATGCCGAAGATTTTTTTTTGCTATAATAAAAAAGGTAAAGCGAAGCATCAGGGAAGATTAATTGGTCTACCAGTAAAACTTTAATTCGTTGCATGCTTTTAGTGAGCTGTAGAAGACTGTTACATTTCAAGTATCTACCTATACGGTGTCATTGGATTTGGTTTGGCATTATGTCATTGTGTAACATTGTAACATTATATATGAGCATATGTGGCATTATATATAGGCATCTATGATATTATATAATGTCATATGTGACATTACATGGTGGCATGTTTGACATTATAATGTCTTTTTTTGACACAGTATTAACTATTAATTTGGCACCACTGTGGCGACGATGGTGCAGATTGTGATGACAGTGTTGTTGATAATGGTATAAAGCACTGATATCATTGATGGTGACGATGAAAAATCAAAGGCATCAATGGTAGGTTTCATTTGTAGCGGTACGGCGGAGCAGAGGACGGTGGTGGTGGAGATTCAAGTGATAGTGGCAGGTATGTGCAGTGGCAGCGACGATGGCGGCGGTGGGCATCATCGTCGACGACGATTGCGGCGGTGGGCGTCGCTGTCAGTAGCATGCTGTTGTGAAATTGTCCGAATTTTTTTAGTTTTGAATTTCGCCACCACTGGTATTGGCCGCAAATGCAGCACGTGTGGGGATCATTTTTTGTTTTATTAATTAAGTTAAAATTTTTATTTTAACTTTTTATAAAAAATCAAAAAAAATGAAAAACTCAAAAACATTGCAAAAGAAAAGAGTCGCATGCAGTGATCATGCTCCTGACTTTTAGTTTGCATAAAAAGATGCATGCAGTATTTTTTGTGCGTGTGGGAGTATTTTTTGTTTTATTAATTATATTCTACTCCTATTTAGAGGAGTTTAAGTTTGAATTCTTATTTTGAGGATATGACTTATGTTTTACTCCTAATTTGTTCTTTCTCCCAAGCTTTGCTTCATCTGACCTTAGCATGTCATCTCCATGTAATGTGTCATCTGACTGGAGTGTATATATATATATATATATATATATATATATATATATATATATATATATATATATATATATATATATATATATATATATATATATATATATATATCAGTTCACAACGCACCGGTAAGAGGCGATTGGCTAAAACTCGTGGAACCTTTTTTGACTTGCCACGTATAACCCGAATCATCTAGATGTTTCTACCCGCGAAAATCTATTTATTGCGACCCCTTTCATCGTCTTCCTCTCTCGGATTCTGTGAAACGCTTGCGAATTCTCCTGGAGCAGAAGTTGGAGCAAGGACGAGGATCGGAACAATTGCTGTTACCGCTAATTGAACAATGAAGCCCAGATTAACATCAGCTGCGATTCTATTTGCATTGTTTCTCTTCGCCGTGGAATCAAAAACCCTTGATCCGTATAAGGTCAGTCTCTCCAGCATATCCCTGATTTTCTCTCAATCTGTGAAAAGTTTCTTGCTTCAATTCATATAAAATATAGGGTTAGCTTGTTTAGTTTAACTACCGATCCTCGTTTGCTGCTGGTTCTTGAAGGTGAAAATTCGGTTTCAATTTTTCTTTCGTAATTTACTAAAGTAAATCGATCATCGGCCGTGTCCCATGGAGATGCAATAGAGTGCGTAAAGTGTGGTACTTGCACATCGGTACAATGCAACCAGTGTTTTCAAACCTTGATATTCATGCCAATACACCCAGGGTACTATTGGTGGCATGGATCAAACCCGAATGGTCCTATAGAAGAGGAGAGGGTGTACCAATTTGGCTAGACTCCTTATTTCATACTTTCTCCCTTCCAAGTTAAGGTTCCAAATTTGACCAGAAACAACTATTAAGAAAGTTAAAATTGAATGGTTTAGGGTTATGCAAGGAGAAAGAATGTTAACCATTTTTTGGGACAAACAAAATGGAACGTGGAACCTTTTTTGGGTCGGAGGAAGTACTACTTATCCTTGGAGTAACCGAGTTAGGGATGTGCTTGTACGCATTTATTAAATACTCCCTCCATTCCCAAAAGAATTACACATTTTGACTTTAGTCATTTGCCATGTTAAAGAAGAACGTTAAAAAGTAAAAATCTGTGGTTATATTGATGAAGGGGGTTTAGAAATAGATCATCTAAAGATGAAATTAGACATCTACATATATATATATATATATATATATATATGTATGTATATGTATATGTATATATATATATATATTAGAATAAGTAAGACAACTGCAATTATGCGGTTTCCGGTTGGGCAGTATTATTACTGCTAGTGATATTGCTACTATATCATTGGCCAGGAGGATTAAAAGATTGTATTTCATATTGCCCTAAATATTTTTTACTATAGGTTCATGGATTTAGTTAGAAAAAATTGAATAAAGGGAATGAATCGATGGGTATGTAGGGCTCCCCATTTATAGGATTAGTCTTAACTCGTAGCCTTTCGTAATTTTCTAGGCATAGATCAATTACCTGAAGACTTTCATCCTTATCTGATATGCAACTCTTAGACTCATAAAAGGTTATTGCTTGCAGAGTTTTGATTTACTAGGTAATTTCGAATTACAAGAATTACATTTCTGATTTCATTTATAACTTCTTGCTCATTTTTACTTTAATTTTGTAATAGGCGCTTGGAGTTGACAAAAATGCAAATCAACGGGATATTCAGAAAGCTTTCCATAAGTATG